TTGTCCATGTCCAATCTGCTACTAAATATGCCCACCAAAATTTTAATTTCAGGTCTTGAGTTTTTCATCTCTAGAAATTCCATTTGGTTCTCTTTCAAGTCTGCTAGGTTATTTTCTATGGTTTCCTGTTTCCACAATATATTTTCAATATTGTCGTTTATTTACATAAATGTAGGAATCAAAGGGAATTCTGATACAAGCTATAACATAGATGAACTTTGAGTAAATTATGCTAAGTAAAATAAGCCAGAACCAAAAAGACAGATACTGTATCATTCCACTTTACTACTCTAAATATATATCATCCAAGTATATTATCTATTATATCCAGAATACTAAAATTCATAGAAACAAAAAGTAGGGGCGCCTGGGTGGCTTAGTCAGTTAAGCGTCCGACTTTCGCTTAGGTCATGATCTCGTGGTTCGTGGGTTCGGGCCCCGTGTCGGGCTCTGTGCTGACTGCCAGCTCAGAGCCTGGAGCCTGTTTCAGTCTGTGACTCCCTCTCTCTCTGACCCTCCCCTGCTCACGCTGTCTCTCTCTCTCTCCTAGAAATAAATAAAAACATAAAAAAAAAAAAAGAAACAAACAAAAAGTAGATGGGGTGCCTGGCTGGCTTAGTTGGGAGAGCATGCAACTCTTAATCTCAGGGTCATGAGTTCAAGTCCCACATTGGGCATAGAGTCTACTTTAAAAAACAAAAACAAAAACAAAAACATGATAGAATGATGGTTACCAGAGGTTGTGTGGGAAGGGAAATAGAGAGTTGTTTCATGGGCATACAGTTTCAGTTTTGTAGGATGAAAATGTTCTAGAGATTGGCTGCATAACAATGTGAATATAGTTAACATTGAACCATACACTTTAAAAATGATTAATGGGGTACCTGGGTGGCTCAGTTGGTTAAGCATCCAACTTCAGCTCTGACTTCACAGTTCGTGAGTTCGAGCCCCATGCCAGGCTCTGTGCTGACAGCTTGGAGCCTGGAGCCTGCTTTGGAGTCTGTGTCTGCCTCTCTCTCTGTTCCTCCCCCACTTGCATTCTGTCTCTCTCTCAAAAATAAATAAAGATTAAAGAAACAATAATAAAAAAATAAAAATGGTTAAGATGGTGGGGCGCTTGGCTGATCTCAGGGTCATGAGTTTGGATCCCACATTGGGTGTGGAGATTACTAAAATGAAAAATTAAACAAATTTTTACAAATGGTTAAGGTAGTACATTTTATATGTATTTTACACATAAAAATAAAATTTTAATAAAATAAAAATTTTAATGCAAAATGTAGTGACTATAATTGTTTCATAATTTGCTATTTTTCATAGTTCCATTTCTGCTGTTATTTCTGCTGGTTCTCACTTGCAATGCCTTGTTCCTTGCATGCCGGGTTCTTTTTTACTGTGTAGTGCCCATTGTCTACACAGTAATTTACTGATGGAGATTTTTTGAGGACCAACACAAAGATTCATTCCTCCAGAGAAGATGTGAGTTTGCCGCTACCAGGAACTTAGAGAATTCCAGTTCAGGACTACTTTATTTTACTATTATTTGCTTAGTGTTTGTTTATTTATTTATTTATTTATTTTTAATATTTTTATTTATTTCTAGGAGAGAGAGACACAGTGTGAGCAGGGGAGGGTCAGAGAGAGAGGGAGATACAGACTCCAAAATAGGCTCCAGGCTCTGAGCTGGCAGTCAGCACAGAGCCCGATGCGGGGCTCGAACCCACGAACCGCGAGATCATGACCTAAGTGAAAGTTGGACGCTTAACCGACTAAGCCACCCAGGCGCCCCACTGTTTATTCATTTTTGAGAGAGAGAGACACACACACAGTGCAAGTAGGGGAAGGGGAGAGAGAGAGGGAGACACAGAATCTGAGGCAGGCTCCAGGCTCTGAGCTGTCAACACAGAGCTTGATGCTGGGGCTCCAACCCAAGAACTTGCCAGATCACGACCTGAGCCGAAGTCCAACATTTAACTGACTGAGCCACCCAGGCGCCCCTCAGGACTGCTTTAAACTAGGTTTGCAGTAACTTAAGAGCTTTTTTGAATACTTCTATAATTTGGGCTACAAAGTCACAAGAAGACTAGCTATGGTTACAGTCTCTCAAGAGTTTTCTCCTCTTTTGTGCAGAGTAGTGGGAAGTTATCTTTCTTGGAGTCTCTTGAGAGAAAGACGTGGGGTCAGGTTTACTTCTGATTCACCTTTAATCATAGCCTTCTTGGGGGTGGGGGGTACGACTAATACAAGGAAGTCTTTCTAATAGACTCACCACCTTGGTGCTCGCTTCGGCAGCACATATACTAGACTCACCACCTTGGTGGATCCTGAGCTTAGACTTCATCGGTCCTTAGCCTACAGAACATGATGTAATTCACATTTGCTCACACTGGTAAATACCCTCGGAGCAAAACCGACTCCCATGCTTTCTTACCTCTCCTATAGACTGGCTTCCCACCTGCTAGTTTGTCAGCTCTTCTGTGCTTTCAAGACTATTTTAAAACCATTTTATCCAGGTTTTTAGTTTTTGTAAGCAGCAAGTTGTCCCCAATAACTTAACCAATCAGAAATCCCTCTATCTTTATTTCCTTTTCGTTGATTTCTGCTCTTCTGTTCATTTTCTTCCTCCTATTTTTTGTTGTTTTTATTATTGCTTCTTTTCCCTTAAGTTTTTTAGTTGAACACCCAGCTCATTATTGCTTTTTCTATTCTATTACTAGGAAACTCTATCCTGAAGGCTCTAAAATTCCCTTAAAGTATCCTTTCTTTGTATTCTTTTAGTTTTGATACGTAATGCAGGAGTGATTGCTGAAAGGCAGTTGGTGCCCACCTGTTTTCGGCAAGGTCTCATGCCAGCAGGGAGATTGTACTGCTGAGTTTTTTCCTGAGACACCTGCACTCAAGGTCTGGCAACTGCAGGCAATTTTCCCCACAGGGGTGCAGCAATGCTGGGAAAAGAGAAGAGCATAATTTAAACTACCTTCTCTACCCAGCATTTTCTTTTTTTTTTTTAATTTTTTTTAATTTTTTAATGTTTTATTTATTTCTGAGAGAGGGAGAGACAGCATGAGCAGAGGAGGGTCAGAGAGGGAGGGAGGTACAGAATCTGAAGCAGGCTCCAGGCTCTGAGCTGGCTGTCAGCACATAGCCTGATGCGGGGCTCGAACCCACGAACTGTGAAATCATGACCTGAGCCGAAGTCAGACACCCAGCCGGCTAAGCTACCCAGGCGCCCCTACCCAGTGCTTTCTAATACTGGCTACCTATGAAAATCATTACGAAGTTTTGAAAAATACTGATTTCTGCGTAGCACTTAGAGGATGTTATAATTGGTCTGAGGTGGAACCTGGGCATGGGTACTTTCATTGATCCTAGCATAAAGCCAGGGTTGAGAACCGCTTCTCTAATTTATCTGTTCCTTGTCACCCACCCCACACTGCATCCTCCCTCCTCCCCACTCACACTCCCAAGCAATTTTAAAAATTTTTTTCCTTTTCAAATTTTTATTTAAATTCTAGTTAGTTGGGGCGCCTGGGTAGCTCAGTCCATTAAGTGTCCGGCTTTGGCTTGGGTCATAATCTCCTGGTTTGTGGGTTCAAGCTCCATATTAGGCTCTCTGCTGCCAGCCTGGAGCCTGCTTTGAATCCTCTGTCTCCCTCTCTCTCTGACCCTCTCCTACTTGCACTCATGTGATCTCTCTCTCTCTCTCTCTCTCTCTCATAAATACACATTTAAAAAGAAATAAGTAAATTCTAGTTGTTAATATATGGTGCAATACTGGTTACAGGAGTAGAATTCAGCGATTCATCACTTACATAGAACACCCAGTGCTCATCACAAGTGCCCTCCTTAGTACCAATCACTCATTCAATCCATCCCTTACCCACCTTCCTCCATCAACCCTCAGTTTGTTCTCTATGGTTAAGAGCCTTTCATGGAGGGCGTCTGGGTGGCTCTGTCAGTTGAACATCCAACTCTTGATCTCTGTTCAGGTCATGATCTCGTGGTCCATGGGTTCAAGCCCCACATCTGGCTCTGCACTGACAGCGTGAAGCCTGCTTGGGATCCTCTCTCTTTGCCCCTCCACTGCTTGTGTGCGCGCTCTCTCTCTCTCTCAAAATAAATAAAAACTTTAAAAAGAGAGCCTCTTATGATTTGTTTCCCTCACTTTCTCCCCCTTCTACATGTTCATCTGTTTTGTTTCTGAAATTCCACATATGAGTAAAATCATATGGTATTTGTCTTTTTCTGACTGACATTTCACTTGGCATAATACATTCTAGCTCCACCCACATCACCACAAATGGCAAGATTTCATTCTTTTTGATGGCTGAGTAGTATTCCATGGTATAAATACCCCATCTTCTTTCCATTCATTGGTTGATGGACATTTGGGCTCCTTCCATAGTTTGGCTATTGTTGATAATGCTGCTATAAGCATCGGGGTGCATGTACCCCTTCGAATCTGTATTTTTATAAACTTTGGGTAAATACTTAGTAGTGCAATTGCTGGACCATAGCGTAATTCTATTTTTAACTTTTTGAGGAACCTCCATACTGTTCTCCAAGGCAGCTGCACCAGTTTGCATTCCCAGCAACAGTGCAAGAGGCTTCCCCTTTCTCCATATCCTGGCCAACACCTGTTGTTTCTTGTGTTGTGTGAGGTGGTATCTCAGTGTGGTTTTAATTTGTGTTTCCCTGATGATGAGTGATGTTTGTGCATCAAACACAAAGTGTTTCATGCATCACACGAGTGATGATGAGCATCTTTTCATATCTGTTAGCCATCCGGATGTCTTTTTGGAAAAATGTCTACTCCTATCTTCTGCCCATTTCTTAGTGGGATTATTCATTTTTTTGGGTGCTGAGTTTGATAATCTCTTTATAGATTTGGGGTATTGGCCCTTTATCAGATATGTCATTCCCAAACAATTTTAAAGCCTTCTGTCCTCCCAAAGCTGGTTATTTCCTGGCTTCCATATTTCTCTCTATTGTTTTTCCAGGGTGCATTTGGGGCAGGAGTCAGAAACTCTGATCATTTACCACATTGGCAGGAACCAGAACTCTCCTGTATCTTGTTCGTCTTCACGGGAAGTCTCAGCATGAGACAGCAGCACTGGTTTGGCATGACTGCCAAAATGGGCACCGTGTTATCAGGGGTCTTTACCATCATGGCCGCCAACATGTGCCTCATCTTCGAACACAAGTACTTAAGGAGCAACAATTGCACTGATAATAACCTGCAGAACAATAGTGCAAGTGTCCTGATAAGCCACTTCATCATCTGCTGGGCTTTCAATATTGTCTTCTTCCTGTCTTTCATTACCCTCATCATCAGCTTCTTCCTCCTGTACTCAGTGTATGCCCAAATACACGGGGGCTTGGTGACCTACATGATCTGGATCCTTTTCTACGAAGTTGTAAACATTATAGTACAAATCTTTACCAACAATGACTCTGTCATTGAAGAGGTCAGAGTCGTGCGTTGGTTTGGCTTGATGTCCCGTATTTTCATGCACTGTTTCTGGATATTCTATGTCATCTCCTATGCTCACATAATCTACAAAAGTCAAAGCCCAGGCAATATAATTTTCTACAACAGGCGTATTTCGACAGCCACTGGAGAGTTCCTACGACGGAAATCCAAGATCATCAACCTTACCCGACACTATAGTAAATAATGTTTGCCCTTCTCTCCACTGATGGTAATTCTAGTTCCATCTCTCTCACTTCTGCTGATCTGTTCGGAATAGAGACTCTGCTGCCATCTTTTTGGGAGACTATGGAGAGGAATGTAATTATAATCCCAACGAGGACCACCTGCTCAGGAAGGGCGTTTAATGAAAGGCCATTGTTGTTTACCAAGCACTTCTTGGGTTTCTCCTTCGTTTTCTGGTCAGTGCCGCCTTAGAGGTCAAAATAAAGAGGGCAAGGGAATGAAATGAAGCTGAGTCGCAGTCTGGCAATCCTTTCGCCTTGGTATATGCCTTCATCAGCCTTCAACCCACAGCTCTCTAATTCAACCCTGGGACACAGGCATATCTGGATTTATACCTCAGGTAGCTACAGCATAAGGGAGAATGGTAGTGTCTTGGGGTAGCTTTGTGCCATGGTCTTTCCCTCTCTGTCCTGTATGCTATATTCCAGATAAATAAAAGAATAAAAGTAGAGAAAACTATTCTCCATTTTCTGTCGTAAGTATCCTCCCCACTCAGATTTGTTAAAGAGTGCAAAATGCACTCAGTTAACCAAAAGGTATTCGTTAAACTTTTCTGTGTCTGTCACTATGCTAGACTTAGTAGAAGGATACCAAAAAAGTACAAGATACAAGTCCTGACCTTGAGGATTTTGCAGTTTGTGGGAGAAACAAAATCACTGCTTATGACTTAAGCTAATTAAGACAGCACAAGACTACATATTATCATAGATCCACACACATCACTTGAGTCCAGGTTCAGAAAATGTCATAAGTAGTATAAACCAAGATGGAAGACAAATTGAGCACACTTCTACTTCAAACATTAGGCATTGTGTTAAGTGTTTGTTTATTTAATAGCTTTACTGAGGTATAAGTGACATATAATAAGCTGCACATGTTTAAAGTACATAATTTGATAAGTTTTGACATAAGTATATCCCAGTGAAACCATCACCACTGAATTCCTAAACATATTACCCCTCAAAGTTTCCTCTTAACCCCTGCTCCCCCCCTTCCTGCAGCAACCCCTACCATCACAAGGCACTGATTTGCTGTCATTATCTATTAGTTTGCATTCTCTAGAATTTTACATATATAGAATCATAGAGTGTGCACTTTTTTTGTCTTGCTTCTTTCACTCAGCCTAATTCATCCATGTTGTTATGTGTATCGAAGTTCCATTCTTTAAGATTCATCTACATTATGCGTTTTGAAAGTTCATTCTTTATTGACGAGTAGCATGCCATGACATGAATATACCGCAATTTGTTTATCCATTCGCCCTTTGAAGGACATCTAGTGATTTGCAACTTGGGGCAATTACAAATTGGAACACTAGAAACATTTGTGCACAAAACTTTGTATAGACTTATGATTTCATTTGTCTTGGATAAATACAATTTTAACTTCTTAAGAAACTAGCAACGCTTTCCCAGAGTGGCTGTACCATTTTATATTCCCACTAGTGGGGTATGAGAATTCTAGTCCCTCCACATCCTTGCAAGAATTTAGTACAAACAATAAATATTTCATTTTAGCCATTCTATTGGGCATATAGTGGTATCTCCTTGTGGTTTTAGCTTACATTTCTCTCATGCCAAATGATGTTGAACATCTTTTTATGTACTTGTCATACTTATATATTTTTGGCAAGGTGTCTACTCAAATCTTTTGCCTATTTTTTAAAATTTTTTTAACGTTTATTTATCTTTGAGAGAGAGACAGAGCGTGAGCAGGGGAGGTGCAGAGAGAGAGAGAGATACAGAATCAGAAACAGGTTCCAGGCTCTGAGCTTTCAGAGCAGAGCCCGACGCGGGCTTGAACCCACAAACTGTGAGATCATGACCTGAGCCGAAGTCGGATGCCCAACTGACTGAGCCACCCAGGTGCCCCAAATCTCTTGTCTATTTTAAAAAATGAGGTTGTTGGGGTACCTAGCTGGCCCAGTTGCTAGAGCATGCAACTCTTTTTTTTTTTAATTTATTTGTTTTTGAGAGAGAGAGCATGAGCATGGGAGGGAGAGGAGAGAGAGAGAGAGAGAGAGAGAGAATCCCAAGCAAGCTTCACACAGTCAGAGCAGAGTCTGATGTGGGGCTTGAACTCACAAACTGTGAGATCGTGACCTGAGCTGAAATTGGGAGTTAGACACTTAACCAACTGAGCCACCCAGGGGCCCCTGGATGACATTTTCTTCTAGACTTGGTTTTCATTAGTTAAATACACATGTTCCTCTCCTTCATTTCCAGTGAAGAAATGGGCAGAAGACATGAACAGACACTTCTCCAAAGAAGACATCCAGATAGCTAACAGACACATGAAAAGATGTCAACATCACTCATCATCAGGGAAATATGAATCAATACCACCTCACACCAGTCAGAGTGGCTAAAATGAACAACTCAGGAAATAACAGATGTTGGTGAGGATGTGGAGAAATGGGAACCCTCTCACACTGTTGGTGGGAATGCAAACTGGTGCAGCCACTCTGGAAAACAGTGTGGAGGTTCCTCAAAAAATTAAAAATAGAATTACCCTATGACCCACCAATAGTACTACTAGGAATTTATCCGAAGGATACAGGAGTGCTGATTCATAGGGGCACATGTATCCCAATGTTTATAGCAGCACTTTCAACAATAGCCAAATTATGGAAAGAGCCTTAAGGTCCATCAACTGATGAATGGATAAAGAAGATGTGGCATATATATACCGTAGATTATTACTCGGCAATGAGAAAGAATGAAATCCTGCCATTTGCAACAAAGTGGATGGAACTGGAGTATATTATGCTAAGTGAAATAAGTCAGTCAGAGAAAGACAGATATCATATGTTTTCTCTCATATGTGAAACTTGAGAAACTAACAGAAGACCATGGGGGGAAGGGAAGGGGAAAAATAGTTTCAAACAGAAAGGGTGGCAAACCATAAGAGACTCTTAAATTCAGAGAACAAACTGAGAGTGGATGGGGGGGTGAGGGAGAGAGGAAAATGGGTAATGGGCATTGAGGAGGGCACTTGCTGGGATGAGCACTGGGTGTTGTATGTAAGCAATGAATCACGTGAATCTACTCCCAAAACCAAGAGCACACTGTATACACTGTATGTTAGCCAACTTGACAATAAATTATATTTTTAAAAAATTTTATGTCCTAAAAACTTTAATTAATTAATTAATTAAATGTCCAGTTTCCAACAACAAAAGAATATAAGACATGTAAAGAAACAGCAAAGTATGACTTATATATCAGAAAATAAATTGGAACAGAAACTCCCTGTAAGAGTGACAAGATATCAAATTTAACAGAAAAAGTCTTCAAAAGAGCCGTCATAAATATGTTTAAAGAGGGGAACCTGGGTGGCTCAGTCAGTTAAGCGTCTAACTAACAGGTCATGATCTCATGATTCCTAAGTTCAAGCCCTACATTGGGCTCTGTGCTGACAGCTTAGAGCCTGGATCCTGCTTCAGATTCTGTGTCTCCCTCTCTCTGCCCTTCCCCTGCTTACGCTCTCTCTCTTTCAAAAATAAACATTAAACATATATGTATTTAAAGAACTAAAGGAAACCATGATTAAAGGACTGAAGGAAAATATGATGGCAATGTCACATCAAACACAGAATACCAATAAATATGAATAAAAGACACAGAAGTTATGAAAAACTCATAAAAATTTATTGAGAAACACTAACACACTCATCCAGGAAACCCAAAGAATTCCAGTTAGGATAAATTCATTTTTTTAATGTTTTTTATTTATTTCTGAGAGAGAGAGAGAGCGTGAACAGAGGAGGGTCAGAGAGAGAAGGAGACACAGAATCCAAAACAGGCTCCAGGCTCTGAGCTAGCTGTCAGCACAGGGCCTGATGCAGGGCTCAAACCCATGAACCGTGAGATCATGACCTGAGCCAAAGTCGGACGCTTAATGGACTAAGCCACCGAGGCGCCCTCAATTAGGATAAATTCAAAGAGATCCATAAACACTGCATAGTAAATGCTCAAGTCAAAGACAAGAAGAAAATCTTCTAATGTTTATTTTTGAGACAGAGAGAGAATGTGTGTGAGAGAAGGACTGGGGGAGGGGCAGAGAGAGAGGACGACAGAGGATCCAAAGCAGGCTCTGTGCTGACAGCAGGGAGCCCCATGTGGGGCTTGAATTCATAAACCATGAGATCATGTCTTGGGCCCAAGTCAGATGCTCAATTGACTGAGCCACCCAGGCACCCCAAGAAGAAAATCTTGAAAACAGCAAGAGAAAAATGACTCAACACTTAGAAGGGAATCTCAGTAAGACTAACAGCTGACTTCTTTGCAGAAACAATGGAGGCCAAATGATGGTGGGACAATATATTCAAAATACTTCCTCCTCCCACTGTTCACCAAGAACCCTGTATCCAGCCCAAAGCTGTATTTCAGAAACACTCAGATTCTTTCTGAGTTCCAGGTTGATGGAGAGGACTTCATAATAGACATATCCCAGGGGAGTTCAAACCCACCATTTCTCAAGCTGTCCTCCTTCATTTTTCCCTTCCCCATTCTAAGTGTGCTTCCCAGCTCAGTGAATGGGCCACCCTTGACCCAGGTGCTAATCCCAGACTCCTCCCACAGCCCCAGACTGCAAATGCAACCCCCTAACACCCCATGTTGCCTTGCTTCACCATTGCCTTTAAGCCTCTCAACTGCTCTGCCTGCCTCTACTCTTGTCTCCTTTCTGACCCGTGGTCCCCATACCAGCAAGAAACGTTTTTATATATTTTTTTAAATATTTATGTTTTGGGGGGAGGGTGCAAATAGGGGGGCAGAGATAGAGGGACAGAGAGGGCAGAGAGAGGGGGACAGGCTGATAGCAGTGAGCATGATGTGGGGCTCAAACCCACAAACCGTGAGATCATGACCTAAGCCAAAGTCAGATGCTCAACCAACCGAGCTACCAAGGTGGCCCAAGAAATGTTTTTCTAAAATGCAAATCAGATCATCACACACACACACACACACACACACACACACATCCTGAAGACCCTTCCAAGTGTCCTCATTGCCTTCCAAAGAAACCCGGACATGGCAGGTAAGTCCTCTTCTTTTCGGACCCCTGCCCTTCCCTGTAGCCTACCTCTCTACCCAAGCCACACCAAACTCGCTGTTTCCCAAATGGCTTTGGCCTGTCCGCATGCCTACTTGAATGCTGTCCACTTTGCCAGAGGTGAAGTCCCTCCCTTTTCCACCCAGTGGTTGCCCATTCCCTCTAAGACACAAGTTCAGTGATTGCCTTCTTCAGAAAGTCTCCCCCGGGGCACCTGGGTGGCTCAGTCAGCTGAGCTTCCAACTTCAGCTCTGGTCACAATCTCAGGGTTCAGTGAGTTTTAGTCCCTCATCAGGTTCATTGCTGTCAGCGCAGAGCCCACTTCAGATCCTCTGTCCCTTCTCTCTCTGCCCCTGCCCCACTTGTGCTCTCCCAAAAGTAAATTTTAAAAAACATTTGTAAAAAGAAGAGGAAAGAAAACCTCCCCTGATTTTCATTCTGGATTAGATCTTTTTTAAAAAAGTTTTTATTTTAATTCCAGTTAATTAACATAGAGTGCTATATTGTTTCTGGTGTACAATATAGTGATTCTGGATCAGATCTTGCTACATCTTGAGGACATCGGACCACCTCCTCCACAGCCTTTATCACAACGCATGGTAAGTTTTCCTTAAAAAATGTTAAAAACATTTTATTCCCATTTTTCTTGTTTTTGTCTAGCTTCCTCACTAGAATGTTTACCTGTGCATGTCTAGTGCCGAGCTCAATGTCCAGCACATAGTTAATGCACAATAGATGTTTGCTGAGTGACTAGAATGGGCCAGAGGAACAGGAAAGGAGGCAGAAAGAGACGTTAGGCAGTTTTTACCATGACCGTGGGGAGGCATTAAAGGCCAAAACCAAGGCGGGGGCAGCAAGAACAAAAAACCCAAGGGGTCTATAAAGATAATGCCTTGAAATCTGCAAAACAGTCTTACACCAAAGGGACACGCCTGTGTGGTTTGAGGCCCTCTTTTTGAAAGACCCAGGAGAGCACCCTGTGGAAAGTAGCCACTCTGGAAGCGACTCTGGTGGCAGGGATGGCCTGAGGCTGGGTTGGTGGGAACAGACAAAGATCAGCGCAGCTCTCCAGCAGCCAGCACAAGGATTCTCCTACCCTACCGGGGAAATGCTGGTTCCTGGGGTGCAGCAGGCGGTATGTGTACCAAGGACTAAACTCTGGAGACACACGGAGTTGGGAGGATCATGGAGAATAAGATACAAGGATATTTGGGATGAATTTGGAAAACATTATGCTGAATGAAACCAGCTGGCACAACAGAAGAAATATTGTATGACTGCACTTACGTGCGGTGCCTGGGGTAGTCATAACCCATAGAGACGGAAAGGAGAATAGTGGTTAGCTGGGGCTGGGCGTAGGGGAGGGGGCAGTGAGCATTTGCTAAGTATAAAAGCCTGGAGATGGATGGTGGTGATGGTCACACAACAGTGTGAATGTACTTAATGCCATTGAACTGTACACTCGCAAAGGGCTAAAATGGTAAAAAAAAAAAAAAAAAAAAAAAAAAAAAGTATATTTGACTATAATAGAACAATTGCAACTGAAAAAAATATTCAGGGGTCATTCCAGGCCCTCAAGGAGCCAAACTAGTTTTCTGACTTCACAGAAAAAAATATCCCGTGGAAGAGCCCAGAGCTGACTCCATCATCATTCCAGATACAGGAGCTTCCCAATTGCCATGAGCCTGGCACGGACAGTGTGCTTTTTGCTACCTTAAAGCATAGCTGCGTCTGAAACAGCAGAGCTGGGAGCTACCCAAGGAGTATCCTAGGCCAACGGCGCCCTCAATTCCCAGGGACGTGGTCACCTACAGCTGGTTATGTCAGAGCAGGGGCCAGACACCCATGTCCCTTGACTTCTGGCCCATTGCCTGTCCATATACCAATTTTATTTTAGCTCTCTCCCATTTATATCCAGTGGCTCAAGGAATTTGTGTAGGGCTAGCTCCACCATCTTATTCTGTATCTCCTTTTTCCCCCTGCAGCAGGTGCTGTGGTAAAACACGTATAAAATGAACAACAAGACTCCCTGCCTCGTGGTGGGCATCTTCTCTATCCTCAACACCATCCAGTTCCTCATCTTTGATTTGAACCACATTACGTACTTTGGCTACGAGGACAGAGTCAATATCTACATGGACACAAACTCTGAGACGGTATCTTGGGTCATGGCCCACAAGGGAAGCATCAACATCGTCTTATCCACCACCACCATCTTGTTCGGCGTGTTGCTTCTCTATTGCATCCACACGAACAACTACGTGGGGCTGCTGTGCTACGCACTGTGGATCATCGTCTATGAACTCATCAGTTTCTCCATGGTCATGCTCATCAATGGGATCATCAATGATCAGTTCAAGGAGCTGAGTTACCAGCATCTGCTCTTCCAAATCTCCCGTATGCTCCTTCACTTCTTCTCTCTGCCTTTCATCACCAAGCATACCTGCATCCTTTACAAGATCCCCAAGGTTTCAGTTAAAATAAACCGCCACAGGCGCTCCTCCATCAGTACAGTCGATTCGTGGCCACCTGTCGGGCTGGGAAGCTTGTACCACAAGTTAAACTGAACTGTGCCAGGAAGGAGAGAAAGAGAGGCACAGCACTCCCCAGCAATAGCTTCCCCTTTTCCCTCTTGCCTTCTGTTGCTTCTACTTACCTTTTAAAGATTCTTGAGTTTTATGCACTTAAGGGTATTCTTGGGGCGGGGGGGACGATTGCACAGATCAGTTATTGTGCATGTGTGTATTCATGACTTAATTATATTCCGCCTTTGTTCTTTTTTTTTTAATTTTTTTTATGTTTTTTTATTTATTTCTAGGAGAGAGAAAGACAGCGTGAGCAAGGGAGGGTCAGAGAGAGAGGGAGTCACAGACTGAAACAGGCTCCAGGCTCTGAGCTGGCAGTCAGCACAGAGCCCGATGCGGGGCTCGAACCCACGAACTGCGAGATCATGACCTAAGCGAAAGTCGGACGCTTAACCGACTAAGCCACTAAGGCGCCCCCGCCTTTGTTCTTACTTAACCATCTCATTGGTGTATGTAGTTACTTCTCGTGGTCCCCTCCTCCCCGCGTGTCCTTAGTTTCTAATTTTTCTCTTGTGGGTTGTCCCACCAATGCCTGGTTCTGCTGAGATTTTTTTTCTGTTTTTGTTTGTTTTGAGCTGTGCTTATCCTGTAGAACTTTCTGTGCCGATGGAAATGTTCGGTACCCGTGCTGTCCACTAGTCACAAATAGTTACTAAACACTTGGAACGTGGCTATTTCAACCCAGGGATCGATTAGAAAAAAATTTTTTTTTCCATTTTAAGTAATTTCAACTTCAATAGCCACATATGACTGGCACCTGGCTACCATACTAGACAGCACAGGAATCTGGACCCTCATTTTGTTCTTGCATATAATTGTAGGAAGAATCCCTTTCCAGCTTCATGCGTCACTCTGCTTTTCTCTTACTTTTCAGAAAGCAGTTCCTCATGTTGGTCCATGACATGGCAAGAAGAATCCTCACTTTTAAAAGCTCCAAGATTTTTTCATTTTAAGCACTATTGACATTTTGGACAGAATAAATCGGTCCCGTAGGCAGCTTGTTCTAGGCATTGGTGGATGTTTAGCATCTGTGACCTCTACCCATTAGATGCCAGGAGCATCCCCTGCCCTTGTGACAAACAAAAATATCTCTAGACATTGAGAAATGTTCCTTGGGGAGCAAAACTGCCGCCAGTTGAGAACCACTATTTTTTTTCAAGTTTATGTTTTTAAGCCATCTCCACACCTAACATGGGGCTTGAACCCACAATCCTGAGATCAAGAGTCCCACACTCTCCTAACTGAGCCAGCCAGGCACCCTGAAAGCACTCTTTTACAACAATACACCCCCCGGATTGAGAGCTTGTATGTCACTACCATTAACTAAGAGAGAGCATCTTTTACATAACTAAGAGAGAGCATCTTTTACAGAGAGCCCTTTACATTTACTACCTGGTGTGCCATGAACACTAATGCTCCCATTTTATGATTTGATGAAACTGAGACACAGGGTGCTTAAGGGATGTGATCAAGGTCACACAGTAGCAAAAGCAGGATTTGAGTCTAGAACATCTGACTGTAAGCACAATGTCCAACTTGATTCCCTGAAGCACTCTTGTCTTTACCAAGATAAAAAAGAGGGACCTCCTTTTAGAATATTTCCTTTTCATTCAAAAAACGTTGGGAGTGAGAGGCACCTTAGTAGCTCAGTTGGTTAAGCGCCCAACTTTTGATTTCAGCTCTCAGGTCATGATCTTACAGTTCTGAGATCAAGCCCCAAGTCAGGCTCTGCACTGACAATACTGAACCTACTTGGGATTCTCTCTCTCCCTCTCTCTGACCCTCCCTAGCTTGCAATCTCTTTCTCCCACAATAAATAAATAAACATTAAGAAAAATGTTGTAAGTGAAATCAAGCGACACATTTCTTTTGAGAGAGAGAGAGCGCGAGAGGGCACAAGTGAGGGGGAAAGGGCAGAGAGAGAGAACAAGGGAGAGAAAGAAAGAAAAGAGAGAGAGAAGGGGGCTACCAGAGGAGGGGCTCGTGTTTACCCAAAATGGAGCTCAAGCTCACCGGATTGGGACTCAACTCAACAAACTGGGAGATCATGACATGAGCTGAAGTCAGATGCTTAACGACTGAGCCACCCAGGTGCTCAAGGGACACATTTATCTTAACCACACTCCTCCAAAGCAGGAGCATAATGACAGTAGCCCATTTTTACCAAACACTTAATAAATGCCTGGTGCTACTGGAAAAACTCATTCGATTCTTCCCACCACCCTACTAGTCACAGATCTGGATCCGGACCAGTTCCCAAAATGTCCACCAGATGGCAGTCAGCAATAAACTTTTGCCCCGCGCTGTTTGTCTTCCCAGCCAGATCCTCTAAGGGTGGCTGATGAGGGATTTAGGGAGCCTCCACCTGGTAACTGAGGACTAATAGTGTGCATCCCCGCCCTAGTCTCACAAGGCACGTCTTGACTGGTACCAGAAAACAAAAAGTAAAGCACAGGCTGACATCAGGCTCTAATCCCCCATCCCCGCTGGGGCGGCGGTGGGAAGACTGGAGACCGACCCTGTTCAGAAGAGGTGGGGAGGGAAGCCAAGTTCCAAGCATCAGCTCAGCTAAGAGTTAGCTGATGGAGGAAAGCTTACGATGCTCAGACACAAGGCTGTGCGTCCCTCTGCACCAGACTCCCCCGTTGTGGGTCCGCTTCCCCCCCCCACCCCCATCCCAGCTTCCCATTCTCCCAGGAACCCCCCTCCCGCCACTCCACCGAGTCTGCTCTTGTTAAGGTGGTCTCCACACTGCCCAGTCCTGAGCTCAGCCTTCTCTTGCTAGACCTCTCCATGGCTTTTGACCAATCGATCCCTCCCTGACCTCAAACAGCTTTGTCTCTTGGCCTGTGGGACACTAGGGCCATCACTCTCCATTCGCCACCTGCCTCACTGGCCTTCATCTCCCTGACCTTCAAACATTGGAAATGCTTCCTGTCATCCTTCTGATCTCCTTTCTAACCACTTTCCTCCCTCCCTCCGCTCCAGCCACACTGGCCTCCTTGCAGTTCCTCCTACACACCCAGCACACTCTAGCCGCAGGGCCTTTGCACCTGTGGTTCCTTCAGTCTGGAATGTTCTCACTCCAAGTATCCACTCGTTTTGTCTTTTGTTTCTTTCAGGTGTCTGCTCAAAAGACATCAGAGAGGCTTTCCCTACCAACCTATGAACCTAGCCCCTCCCCACGCCCTCCCTCTGTAACCTACTTACCGTGCTTTATTTTTTTCATAACACATATTATCACCTCACTATACATAGTTACTCCACTGCCCCCCAAAATACAAGCATCATATTTTCTTCATTGCTGTTTTCTCAGCACCTAGAACAACACCTGGCACATAGCTTGTGCTCCATAAATATTTGTGGAATGGGGGTGCCTGGGTGACTCAGTTGGTTAAGCATCTGACTCTTGATTTCAGCTCAGGTCATGATCTCACAGTCATGAGATCGAACCTCACATCAGGCTATACAGGAGCATGGAGCCTGCTTAAGACTGACTCTCTCTCTCTCTCTCTCTCTCTCTCTATGTGTGTGTCTTTCTCTCTCTTTCATCTAAAAACAGAATTGTGAATAAGCGGACACAGACCCGCAGCAGCATAGAATAAGGAATTGTTGCCTGCTTTCTACCTGGTGATTATGGCAGGCAGGCTAGTGAGGGGCAAATTCCTACTGCTCTTTAGCCTCCTCTTCATTATCCCTTCCTCTCTCACTCCCTTCTGGAGTCTGCAGATAGTTGCAGGTGGGAAATACTCACAAGGGATACGATATCGGCTTCCTTGTCCCTCTCCTCCTTCCCTAACTCTTTTCCTTTGCACCAGCTGCTGATCCTAGAAATACCACATCTTCCCACTCTCCTCACCAAGCCTAAAACAAGCCTTTTGAACAGTGCAGGTGTCCCTGGGAAGGGTATACCCCGAGAGCTGTCACCACGACTCCCTTACCTCCCCCGCCCTGTGAAGATCCCTGGCCTTCCATCGTCCTTTCCTTTACTGGGTTTACTGAGTGTCTGCTGTGTAGCAGGCTCTGAGCTAGGAACTGGGGAATACCCTAGAAAGCAAGGTACAGCCCACATTTCAAGAGGCTGCCAGCCTCAGGAGGGCTGAGTCACTCAAGGCCATTTGGACCCGTAAGATGGGTGCTAAGGGAAGCACTGGAGGCCATCGGAGGAGTTCTAACTCTGGGAGACTGGAGAGTCAGGGAAGTCTTCCTGGAAGAGAGCCCTGAGAAGGAAAAGGTAAGGTGCGGGAGATACCCCTGGGATGGGAGAGCTACCCCAGGGTGAAGGAAGGAAGCTACTCTGTGGGGACGATGGTGTCAAGAGGAAGCAAGCAGACATGAACTTCCCCAGAGAGAAGAGGGTCTCCCCTTTTCCCACGGCCTTTGCTGGCTGCTCCCGGAAGGTGTTTGATCTTGAGTACACAACCACTGACTATTTCTGAGCACCGTTCCCACCTCACTGGGGTCACCTATAACTCCAAGTGTCCCCTAGCAGCCATGTCCTGCGGGCTTCATTCTGTATCCACTTCTCCCCATCTGGTTCAAGATGCGTCAAACTTCCCATGTGTTTTACTCCCTGCTGCCCCCCCCCTCCCCGCAAGGTCTAGGTCTCCAATTCACCTGCCTCCTTTCCCCCAGAACTCCCCACATTGATTGCTACTGTCCTCAGCTTTCAAAGCTCTATTTTTCCCTTTCTTTGGTGTCTCCCGACAACCAGTCTCTAAGTATGGTCTGAGGCTTTGCTATTTTTTCCATCCCATTTGCCCACCGGACAAGAGGTTGATGACAGCCTCTGAGAGCCAGCGCCTGACTCTCGAGACAGACTTTCCCGTGGGTAAGCTGTTCGGTGAAACTCTCCTCAGCTTCCTTTCCCTTCCCTTCCATCAGCTCACCAGGTGTTAGTGAAATAACTTGTTTAAATTCTTAAATTTGGGAACCTGGATGGCTCAGTTGGAAGACCATGCGATTCTTGATCTCAGGGTTGTGAGTTCAAACCCCATGTGGTGTACAGAGATTATTTCAATAAGTGAAACTTTTAAAAAAATGCTTACATTGTTTTTCATAAGTGAGTCATGACTTTCTTTCCTGGGAAATAGTTTTTACAAATGCCTTCTGCCTATATATTGTTTTTATTTTTTTTCTTCTGACTATATTAATTTTGCTTTACAAGCAAAACGGCTTGTAAAGCCCTTTCTGTGTATGTGTTTGGGCTTTCTGTGTATGTGTTTGTGCGTGTGATTGTGTGTGTTTGTGTATATGAATGTTCGAGTGTGTTTGTGTATGTTGTATTTGTATGTGAGTGTGTATTTATGTGCTATATTTGTGACGTGTTATTTTCATGTTTGTGAATATGTAAACAGCTGAGTCAGTTATTTGGTAATGGTCAAAAATAACTTACATATTGGAGCTCCTGGGTGGCTCAGTTGGTTAAGCGTCCAACTTTGGCTCAGGTCATGATCCCAGAGTTTGTGGGTTCGAGCCCTGCATCAGTCTCTATACTGATAGTTCAAAGCCTGGAGCCTGCTTCAGACTCTGTCTCTCCCTCTCTCTCTGCTCCTCCCATGGTCATACTCTGTTTCTCTCTCTCTCTCTCTCTCAAAAATAAACATTAAAAAATAATAATAAATAAAAATAATTTAAAAATGACTTACATATTAAAGATATAAAAAGATTCAAAAAATGCTTAGGCTTTACACTTTTCTAAAATTTGCTTCTGACTCCTACCAACACTGCCTTTCCTCTTCAGAGATACATCCCAAAAGGGGCAACACGAGACAGCATCTTATTTAAAAGATGTTCAGGGGCACTTAGCTGGCTCAGTGAGTGGAGCAGGAGACTCTTGATCTCAGGGTTGTGAGTTTGAGCCCCACTTTGCATATAGAGATTATTTAAAAATAAAATCTTTAGGGGTACCTGGGTGGCTCAGTTGGCTGAGCGTCTGACTCTTGATTTTGGCTCAGGTCATGATCCCAGGGTCCAAGCCCCTTATTTGGCTCCGTGCTGAATGTGTAACCTGCTTAAGATTCTCTTTCTCTGACCATCTTCCCTGCTTACACTGCCATTCTCTCTCTCTCTCTCTCTCTCAAATAAAAAAATAAATAAAACAAAATCTTTCAAGAAACACAATCTTAAAATAAAAAGATAGGATATTTGGCTCTTCTCTTGCCCCGACAGCATCAAACTGACAAGACCAAGTCTATGAATGATGTGGAGATTGGACCTTGAGCCATCCTGCTCCTCAGAGTTTTAGGGGAACTCCCCTTTCTGAGGGGTTGGGAGACAGCAATTGTAAAAAGTGCCCGAGCAACTAGAAAGCCTCTCAATTCCAAAAGTAAACTTTGCAGCTCCAAAGCATCCCTGGCTCTTTGCCTCTCCCTTTGCCCGGGCCAAGCTCCTGCCAGCCACGCTGACCTCAGGCTGCCCCACCTTCTCCACCCGCTGATCCGGGGATCACTCGCATTTTCTGGACCAACGGAGGCAATTTGGTTTAGCATTGTGTCACCGTTGTGCAATCAAGACCCTCTTGGGGTGCCTGGCTGGCTCCATTGGTAGGCTATGAAACTCTTCTTTTTTTTTTTAAATGTTTATTTACTTTTGAGAGAGAGAGCGTGAATAGGGGAGGGGTGGACAGAGAGGGGGACAGAGGATCCAAAGCGGGCTCTGTGCTGACAGCAGAAAGCCCGATGCGGGGCTTGAACTCACACATCATGAGATCATCACCTGAGCCGAAGTAGGATGCTTAACCGATTGAGGCACCAGGAGCTCCAGAGCATGCAATTCTTAATCTCAGATTCCCGAGCTCAAGCCCCACATAGGGTATGGGGCCTACTGTAAAAATAAATAAATAAGTAAGCACCCTCCTTCCACGCCTTTGGGCATCCTGGAACACACTTATGCCTCCTAAACATTCTCTTCCTTCCTTCCTCCCTCCCTCCCTCCCTCCCTTTCCTTCCTTCCTTCCTTCCTTCCTTCCTTCCTTCCTTCCTTCCTTCTTTCTTCCTTCCTTCTTTCTTTCTTTCTTTCTTTCTTTCTTTCTTTCTTTCTTTCTTTCTTTCTTTCTTCATTCATTCACCAAAATGCATGGTTTGCCAACTATATGCTGGGCATTATGTAAGAAGTGAGGCAAAAGTAAAAAAGTAAAAAGTGAGATGCAATCCTCGCCATGAATCAAGAAGTGGGACATGTTGGGGCCCCTGGGTGACTCAGCAGTTAAGCGTCTGACTTTGGCTCAGATCATGATCTCACAGTTCATGGGTTTGAGTCCCGTGTCGGGCTCTGTGCTGACAGCTCAGAGCCTGAAGCCTGCTTCGGACTCTGTGTCTCTATCTCTGTCTCTCTCTCTCTGCTCGCACTCTGTCTCTCTTTTAAAAGTAAATAAACATTAAAAAAAAAAAAAAAGATGGGATGCTTGGGTGGCTTATTCAGTTGAGTGTCCAACTTCAGCTCAGGTCATAATCTTGCAGTTTGTGAGTTCGAGCCCAGAGTCAGGCTTTGTGCTAACAGCTCAGAGCCTGGAGCCTTCTTAGGATTCTGTGTCTCTGCCCCTCCCCAGCTCGCAGTCTGTCTGTCTGTCTCTCAGAAATAAACATTAAAAAAAATTTTTTTAAAGAAGAAGAGGGACACATGAGGAAGTTATTACAATATTATAGACAAATTGGGTAACAAAGGTAAGTCCAAAATCAGCTATGTTATCTCTATTTCTCAGTGGTTCATTCAACAAATGTTTACTAAGCACATGCTATACTACACATCAGGCCCTGTTTGAGATGCTGGAGCCTCAGGGGAGAAGAAAACAGATAAAGTGCCTGCCCTCATGAAACTTCTATTCTAAGGAGGGAAGACAAGTGATAAGCAAGTGAACCTGTAAGTATATACAATAATTTCAGGGGCACCTGGCTGGCTCAGTCAGAAGAACAGGAATGTTTCTCTGGAGAAGTGATGCTTAACAGGACTTGGAGGCTCGGTGGGAAGGGCATTCCAAGCAGAGGGAACAGCAAACACAAAGTTCTAAGCAGGGGGAGCAAGTTTAGTGCGTTCAAAGACCAGCCAGAGAGCCAGCGACTGGAGCACAGTGAGTGAGGGCCTGGGGATGTGGTGGCTCAGCTGATCCTGTGTTCCTTTCAACTGCTCCAATGCAGAAACGGAAACCTAAACCCCAACGTTCCAGACTCCCTTGCAGCCACCGCCCTGGAGACTGGACACAGAGTGTGAACTTGAGAAGGTAGAAGTGTGACGGAGGGTGTGGGGTCGGGCAAAATGGGTGAAGGGGAGTGGGAGACACAAGTTTCCGGGTGTGGAAGGAATAAGTCCTGGGAATAAAAAGCCTGAGAAATAGAATCAATAATATTGTAATAGTGATCTCTGGTGGCAGATGGAGCTACACCGTGATGAGCACAGCATACTGCATAAACTTGTCGAATCACTATGCTGTACTTGAAACTAAACATGGTGCGTCAACTGTACTCAAATTTAATAAATAAATAAATACCAGAAGTGAGGCAGAGGCCATGTTCCTGCCGCCATTGATTTTGCCACTAGCAAATAAGCTACGGAAACCCTGTCTCTCTGCAGCCACCTTCCAGGGTTTGGCCACTAGCCTGGTTGGTTGTCAGCTGTAACTTCCTGACCCCTGGGTGAAGTTGTGGTGTTTCCTGCAAATCAACAGTTCCAAGGGTGGCCTCCTGTCTCCCGCTTTCCCGAGGGGGCAGAGCTAACTGCTCTCCCAATGGGGCGGCTCAGCAGTGTTATTACAAGGGCCGTCCCCGAGACCCAGCACAGAACCTCTTGCCCCCTTCCAAAGATTGTGAAGGAACCAATTCCTTATATTCAATCCTTCCTGCCTCAAATACCTTTGGGGGTCTCCAGTTTCCTGCAGCTGATCCTGAGTGATCTGGGGGTTGGGAGGCCCAACTCTCCCCCTCGGGAGATCCCTCTGTTACACAGGCAAGCACCTGTCTACCTCTGCCCGCTGTTTCCCAGCACAGAGCCAACTCCCTGCTGGTAACAAAGCATTTCCCCTCACTACCTCAGGGTGGTTCAAACCTGGGCAAAGAATTGTTGCCAGTCTTAACGAACAGTCCACAAGTGTCCCTTTGCCCTGCTTATTGGATCCTAAAAAATGCGAGTGGATGGGGCAGGCTTGGTGTCCTCTGGCCATCTTTCCCTGAGTAGGTTATACCCAGCGAGGTGTTCACTGATCTGCCCTTCATCCCAGGCTAACCAGATACGGAAAAGATACTGGTCTGAACTTCCAGGTGACTTGCCAATTAAAGTCAACACTTGAGGAGTGCTACTCTAAGCAAGCCGGTACAAAAAGCACCAAGGAGATAGAGAGCTTCCCTCTAGGGGCTGAAAGTCTGTGGAGAGAAATGCACGGAGAGACCAAATAAACTAAGGCTGGGTGAATATCTCCAAGGCACTGCTCCAAATGAATGAACCCATTTAACTGTCGCAGCAAGGCTATGAAATACATCATATGGTTTTTCCCCATCTAACAGATGAGAAAACCAAGGCCCGGGAAGGTTAAGCCACTCTTCTAGATTAACACACAGGGTACACTGCTGGGATTTGAACCCAGGCAACCTGGCTCCAGCATCCCTGCAGCCTATCACGTCCAGGCAATGCGTGAGGCTCCATGAAGGCGTCACGGGAGCAAAGCGAAGACACAAGCAGTTCAGCCTAAGGCCATCAGGTCAGGCTTCCCTTCCTCCAAAAGAGATCTTCCATCTTCTGGTCAGGTTGGCGAATGCACAATGGACCTGGCCTTTGTGTTGGTCTTTGAGAAGGGTGCTGGGGGTAGGAAGTGGATGAGACCTGCCTTCCTGCCCTTGAGGGGCTCACAGGCAGGAGGGGAAGCTGACAGCTAAGAACATTAACGGTTGAACCCGCAACGATGTGGGATAAGAAGGGGCTTCTAAGCAGGGAGAAGCAGAGATAACACCGGGCGAGGTACCAGCCCTGCAGGGGACTTACAGGTAAGAAAAGGCTTCTTAGAGGAGGCGACATGCCAGTTGGGCTTTGAACAATGAAGACAGTTTGCCAGGCTGATAGTCTGGGTGGGATGGGCATAGGCGAAGATTGAGGGAAGGGCAGAAGGCGTCCCAGATGGAGGGAACAGCAAGTGCAAAGACAAGGAGGTGGGGGACATGGCGATGTGTCTGAGGCTGGGGGAGCTCCACGGGGCTGCCACAGAGCCCGTGGCAACGGCCAGAAGGGAGGCGGCAGAGTGAGTGGCAGCTGTGTCTCGAAGACGCCACTGTGCTGTGCCAGGGAGTTCGCGCTGCACTCTGGGAAAGCGGTGTTCGAAATGAGGGTTATAACCCATTTGAGAATGTGAAATCAGCTAGGTAGGTCAAGACCAGTACTTTTAAAAATGAAAAGAAAATTGTGGAATAGACAAGATTAAATAGACACAATACTTTTTGTATTAAGAGTAAGTAGCATTTTAGGAGGGCCTGGCTACCTCAGTGAGCAGAGCATGCAACTCTTGGTCTTGGGGTCATGAGTTCGAGATCCATGTTGGGGGTAGAGATTACATAGAAAAATAAGTAAAGGGGGAATTAAAAAAATTGTTTAAAAAGAATTAGTACCGGGGCGCCTGGGTGGCTCAGTCGGTTAAGCGTCCGACTTTGGCTCAGGTCATGATCTCACAGTTCGTGGGTTCGAGCCCCGCATCGGGCTCTGTTCTAAGAGCTCAGAGCCTGGAGCCTGCTTCGGATTCTGTGTCTCCCTCTCTCTCTGATCCTCCCCTGCTCACGCTCTCTCTCCCTCTCTCTCTCAGAAATAAATAAAACATTTAAAAATGTTTAAAAAGAATTAGTGCCATTTTGTGAAAATGCTATCTCATTTACATACCTTGACACAGATACCAGAGGTTTTCCATCAACCCGTTCTCCTCTTCTTTGTTTTAATATCGGACCCCCAACTATTGGTGTGGCTGGCCGGCTAAAAACCACACTTTCCAGCTTTGGGGCACCTGGGAGGCTCAGTCGGTTGAGCGTCCGATTTTGGCTCAGGTCACGATCTCACAGTTTGTGAGTTGAAGCCCCGCGTGGGGCTCTCGGCTGTCAGTGCAAAGCCCACTTCGGATCCTCTGTCCCCCTCTATCTCTGCACCTCCCCTGCTCTCTCTCTCTCTCAAAAATAAATAAACATTTTTTTAAAATTTGCATTTTTCAGCCTCTTTTGCAGTCAAGTGTGTCCATGTTCGTAAGTTCTGGCCAATGCAGCATGAGCATGATAGTGAGTACCACCTCCGGGCCACACTCCTAAAAAAGAACGGACTTCTTTGTGTCTTTCCCTTTTCTTGCTGGCTGGAATACAGACATGATGGTAGGAACTGGAGTAGTCACCTTGTGCCCAGAGTTAAAAGCTGTGTGTTGAATATGTAAGTGCCCCGAACAGCATAGCCCAGATTATGAAAGAGAAGGCAAGTTATGTGAGACGTTAACATCTATCTAATTTAAGGTACACTTACATTTCTGTTACATTATCTCAAACCAATCCCTAATACAGGTACGTGTGTATATGTATATATGCAGGTGTGTGTTCATATGTGTATATGTGTTTACCGCACACACCCCAGGCCATATTGTAAGTTATACTTACTACTATGGATTATATTAGAGAGAGAGAGAGAGAAACTTCCTGTCCTTAAGAGAGGTTTTAAGCAAATGAGCAATGTGGTAAGTTTTGTGTTCCCAAGCTGAAAAAAAATCTTTAAAAAAACTGTTTTTTTAATGTTTTATTTATTTCTGAGAGAGACAGAGAGAGAGAGACAGCATGAGCAAGGGAGGGTCAGAGAGAGAGACACACACAGAATCTGAAACAGGCTCCAGGCTCTGAGCTGTCAGCACAGAGCCCAACACGGGGCTTGAACCCACAAACCGTGAGATAATGACCTGAGCCAAAGTCGGACACTTAACCTACTGAGCCACCCAGGCGCCCCTGAAAAAACATCTTAAAGATCATTTAGCCCACTTACTCCCTCTTCTAACTGATGGGGAAATGTAGACCCATAAAGGTTAGGTAACTGATTCAAGGTCCTGGAGCTAAGTGGCAAGAGCTGGTCTTTGAACTCAGATCTCTGAATCTAAGACTGGGCCCTTTCAGACTTTTTTTTTTTGTGTAAGCTCTACACCCAATGTGGGGCTTGAACTCATGACCCTAATGGAGTCACATGCTCTATAGACTGAGCCAGCCAGGCACCCCTAAGCCTGGGCCCCTTCAATGTCACCAGTCGACAAAAATTCATTTATCTTGCTTTCTTTCAATCTTCAAACACGTTTCTGCATCACATTGTTCTCTATCTAATTAATACAATTCAAATCAGAAAATATTTATTGTAAATCTACTATATACTAGATTATAAAGACAGGGATGACCTTCATAAAAAGCTCCTTAAGTGTCACCTGGGTGGCTCAGTCGGTTAGCATCCGACTTCAGCTCAGGTCATGATCTTGCAGGTCTTGAGTTCAACTCCCACCTTGGGATCTGTACTGACAGCTCAGAGCCTGGAGCCTGCTTCGGATTCTGTGTCTCCCTCTCTCTCTGTTCCTCCCCCACTTGCACTCTGTCCCTCTCTCTCTCTCAAAAATAAACATTAAAAAAAAAACTTCGTAACTGGTATGGTGGATAGATAGAGAAGTAAACACGGATCTGTGTTCATGCATGGATGAGTATGTGTACAGGTTTTTTGTAGTCCTGACCCCTAGAAGGTGTAAAAGCAATAGCACCCCAGTAGCAGTTGAGCACCTCTAGGGCCCATAATCTGCTTTTAAAGATTTTTTTTTTAAGTTTACTTATTTATTTTGAGAAAGAAAGAGAGAGAGGGAGAGAATCTCAAGCAGGCTTCACACTCAGTGTGGAACTCGACTCAGGGCTTGGTCCCATGACTGTGGGATCATGACCTGAGCCAAAATCGAAAGTTGGATGTTCAACCGACTGAGCCGCCAGGTGCCCAGATTTGGTTTTTCAAGACCTTTCTTCAGTGAAAGAAACCAAGATTCCATGGAGAAGAGGTTGATTCCAGGGCTGGGAAGGGAAAGCACCAGCCGAGCCTGGAACACCGTGTGGCAGCAGGAAGTAAGAACATGCTCAGGAAAGGATGGGAGTTTATGGAAAGGACCGGAGAACCAACCCGAAAGCACTCCCAATGGCCAAGGCGGGAACAATTTGAGCCACAAAGCAAGTAACAATCGTATTGGATTTTGTAACCCACAGAATAAATACCCATGAGTCCCTGCTACTATAAATAAATCCTTGCAGAAACAAATGACTTCCTTCACTGAGTATCTAGATGACTGGAAATATAAAGATTTCAAAATTCAGTTGGGGAGGCTTGAACACTTTGTGGTAACTGAAACCAAAACACACTTGCGGTGGACAAGTCCTGGGACAGGAGGGTAAAATCCTGGCACTAGTCTTATCTGTGCCTCTCAAGTCTTGTCACTCCAAACATTTATAAAATGGGGATACGACCATTTCCCTTGGGGCGCCAGACTGGCTCAGTCAGTGGAGCATGTGACTCTTGATCTCAGGGTGGAGTTTGAGCCCCATGTTGGGTGTTGAGATTATTTAAAAAAGAAAAAGAAAATAAAACAAAAAAGGGGGGGAATATCATTTCCCTTGCTTCCCTCATCTTTCTCCAAAGAAACAAAAAATATGAAAAAATGTGTAAATGCAAAACAAAACAAAACAGTATTTGTGATATATTTAGTGCTGTTTTTCACATTTTTGTGCTTTAAAAAAACTACTTATTTTTGAGAGAGACAGCATGAGCGGGGGAGAGTCAGTGAGAGAGGGAGAGAGGATCTGAAGCAAGCTCAGCACTGTCAGCACAGAGCCCAGTGTGGGGCTCGATCTCATGAACTGTGAGATCATGACCTGAGCCGAAGTTGGATGCTCAGCCAACTAAGCCATCCAGGCATCCTCATTTTTGTGCTTTTTGTTGGTGACTTTGCTGTTTAATACTGCCCCAAATGGGGGCGCCAGGGTGGCTCAGTCAGTTGAGCATCTGACTTCGGCTCAGGTCATGATCTCACAGTTCGTGGGTTCGATCCCCGCATCAAGCTCTGTGCTGACAGCTAGCTCAGAGCCTGGAGCCGTTTCAGATTCTGTGTCTCCCTCTCTCTCTGATCCTCCCCTGCTCACGCTGGCTCTCTCTCTCTCTCTCAGAAATAAATAAAAAACATTAAAAATAATAATAATTAAAAAAAAAAACTGCCCCAAATGTGGTGATGAGGTGTTGTCTAGTGTCTCGGAGAAAAAAACACATGTGTTTTCTAACCTCAGGTGTGAGTTACAAGGCTGTTGGCCATGAGCTCAATGTGAATGAGTTAATGTATATATTAAATAAGATGTCTTGGTGGGGGGAAGATGTCTTGGGGCACCTGGGCGGTGGCTCAGTCAGTTAAGCATCCAACGCTTGGTTTCAGCTCAGGTCATGATCTTACAGCTCGTGGGACCAAGCCCTGCATGGGGCTCTGCACCGAGCATGGAGAGTGCTTGGGACTCTCTCTGCCCCTCCCCTGCTATCTCAAAATGAATACATAAACATTTTTAAAAAGATGTCTTTAAACAGAAACACACATAGAATGCTTGTAACCAGAGGCTTGCAGGAATCCGTATTCCCCTAGGAGCGAGGTGGTCCAGGGTTCAC